TTTAAATTTTCCTCAGTTGATCGAGTCATGTTAAACAAAGATCTGTTCTCCTCCTGGAGAACTTCAAACTGATTCTTGAGAAGATTGTTGTCATTCTCAATTGTTTTTAAGCGTGCAACCTCTGCTCGTAAAGACTTTATCATATTTCTATTATCAAACCATATAGTGCCAAGGAAAACTACGAATCCCAGAAAGATCCATAGAGGTGGGGTGATAGACACCTCTTGTAAAATCTCCCACATGGTACAATTGAAAAAAACTGTTAAATTCTTGAATGGTAACGTGTTCAGACATTTTAATTATAAAAGAAAATTTTTTCTCTTACCTGCAACGACTGGTTCCTGCCGGTGGTGGTCTCTGTGGTTTTGGAGCCTGTCTTGGAACTAGCTCTTATAGACCAGGCTGGTCTCGAACTCACAGAGATCCGCCTGCCTCTGCCTCCCAAGTGCTGGGATTAAAGGCATGGTGACTGCTTGGCGAGCACTAGAATTAAAAGCATGCCTGTAATACATCACCTTTTAGAAGATATCGGGGATCTCAGCTCAAATCCCCATGCTTGTATGACAAAAACTTTACAAATGGAGCCATTTCCTTCAGTTTTCTCCCCCTGCCCCTTTTTAAAGATTGCCTTTTATTATTGTGGTGTGTGTGTGTGTGTCCAACAAGTGCCTTCCACGCCAGAAGAGGGTGCTGGATCCCCTGAAGCTATAGTTACATTTGGTTCTGAGTGGTCTGTCATGGGTGTTGGGAACCAAAGCTGATCCTTTGCAAAAACAACTGCCCTTTTTCAAAAGTATACGTTTTTATTATTCTATGTGTATGAATGTTTTGCCGGCATACATGTCTGTGCACCATGTGTGCACAACGCCCTAGGAGGCCAAAAGAGGCTGTCCGATCCTCTGGGACTAGAGTTATAGATGGTTGTGAGCCACCATGTGAGTTCCACTGCTTTAACTGATGGCCATCTCTCTGTCCCACCCTATACTTTTTTTTTTTTGAGGCAAGATCTAACCGTGTAGATGAAGATAGCTTAAAGTTCAAAATCCTCCTGCCTCGGCCTCTCAAGTGCTGGCATTTCAGATGTGTCTATCACGCTTCTCCTGTCATCTAACACAGATGGTATAGGACATGTCCCTGTCTATGTCCTATACCAGGAAGCAGGGACAGTCTGCCTCCTGCTGCAGCTCAGCTACGTCCTCACTACGCTGATGTAGGGATGCAAGGCTCAGCCCACCACGATAAGCTTAATAGGAACAGACCACCCAAAGGAAGTCCTTAACTTCCAACCATTCTCGTGGACCTAGCCTTGATAAGTTTAATGGAGGCCTGAGTCTCAGTAGTTTACCCTGAAGCAATACCTGGTTGCAGGAAAAACCACAAACTGAGATTACCCAGGCATCACCCAGGAACAGACCATCCAAACGGCCTAGTGTTCCAACCATTGTAGATAGGATCACCTGCCAGCACACTCACCAGGACACCCCTAGACAAATGTCAGCCAATCAGGGGTCCTGAACCTCAGAAACCCTTCACCCCCACCTTTACTACTCTAAAAACCCAATTCTGACTGAGTTCGGGGCTCTCCGTTTATTCCAATACTTTGGACATGCAGAGAGACCGAGTTTGCAAACTTGCATAAAATAAAGGCTCTTTGCTTTTGCATACAGGACTTAGTCTCCTTGTTGGCTTTTGGGGGACTTCGCGGATCTGGGCATAACATAGGACATATTCCCGTAAACAGGAAACCGAGACAGATTTCCTTCTGCTCCAGCTCAGCTGCTTCCTTGTGTGACCTTCAGTTTCAGGCTTTACTCTCTCATCTGTAATCTGAGATCACAGAGCGCAAGTGACTTCGACTCCCAGGGTTGCCCAGAAGGTAGGTGTCTAGAGGCAGGTTCACCCATGGGTGCCAGCTTAAAGACAATGAGTCTCTATTCATGGTTCTGAATGGAAAGCTAAGGCACATGGACTTGGAAGTGGACACCAGCCTTTTTATCAACCCAGAAGTCTTGATGAGGGACCTGACTGGGGGCCTGGGCTCCCAACTCTAGCTGGGAGTCTTGTGTGTTGAGGTCAGGGTCACTGCCTGGTGTTAGGGTTTCAGGGTTTAGGGTGAAGGAACAAGTCTCTGGCCTTAGCCCCTCCTGCCTGAGGGGGAGGGGGTAGGTCACAGGAAGGAGGAAGAAGGAAGCAGGCTTAGATTCTGTGGCTAACTGCCAGCCCTCCCCTCCCCCTTGGAGCACCCTAGGGCCTGCCAGCTGCTCACAGCTCCCCCAAGGAACTCCTCCACCAGGTGCCACATGAACCAACTTCTCTTTCTCTGTGTCCTCTGTTGCTTCCCATTTCAGCCTGCCCTCGACCCCCGTTCCCCTGTGTGTGTGTGTGTGTGTGTGTGTGTGTGTGTGTGTGGTGTTTCCTTCATTCAAGATCTGTCGCTATCTTGTCATCTCTTCCAACTCTGCTCTTTGTCCCCCTGTAGAAAGTGAAGGGTCCCCAAGTTCCATGTTGAGATAATGAGCTCCCTAACTGTGGTTCTTTAAAGACTCCAGTCCGGCCACAAACACTAAGGTCTGAATGGGAAGGTCATTGACAAGAAGAGTAGGGGAGGGGTAGATTTCTGAGACAAGAGTGTCTCAGGATGGGGAATCAGTCTCCCCAGCCTAGGGTCATGAAGGCTCAGTCTGATCAGGGGTTTTAGAGCATAGCCAGGAACAACATATTCAGTTATGGTTGAGAAGTGAGGACTTCAGCCAGCTATGGTGGTAAACTCCTATAATCCCCAGCACTTGGGAAGCAGAGGCAGGAGGCAGGAGTATTGTCACAAACTCAAGACTGTCCTGGCCTGAGCTATGTAGGGAGTTCCAGATTGGCCTAAAGTACAGTGTGAAACTGAGGGGTGGCAGCAGAAGGACGGGACCAGGATGTAGCTCAGTTGGCAGAGTGCTTGCTCGTCCGTCCGTCCGTCCGTCCGTCCGTCCGTCCGTGTGTGTGTGTGTGTGTGTGTGTGTGTGTGTGTGTGCGCGCGCACACGCAAAGTCCTGGCTTCAATCCCCAAGGTTATTTAAGATGAGGTCTGGAGGCACCCACCTGGGATCCTTGTACTTTGGAGGTGGAGGCAAGAGGATTAGGAGTTCAAGGTCATCTTCAGAGCGGAAGGAGATCCCCTTGGGCTACATAAAAGCTTTTCTCAAAAGTTCACTCAGAATAGCCCCTCTGAGCCCCAGCCCTAGCAAACAACATTCCTCTCCAACAATTCCCCAGCAACAGGCACCATGGAGGAGAGGCAATCGCCTTCTCCCTGCTCGTCGCGGCCCTCCAGCCCCAGGACCCCACCCTGTGAGATGTTTGGTTCTGTGGGCATTGAGGCTGTGCTAGACCAGCTGAGGATCAAGGCCATGAAGACCGGGTTTGAGTTCAACATCATGGTAGTAGGTGAGTTGGGGCAGAGCCACAGAGGGAACGATGAAGAAGACTCCACGGGCACGGCCCTATCCCATCCTGGACACAGTGACCCACCAGCCACGGGCACGGCCCCTCCCCTGTCCCGGACACAGTGAAGCACCAGCCTCAGACACGGCCCTATCCCATCCCGGACACAGTGACCCACCAGCCACGGGCACGGCCCTATCCCATCCTGGACACAGTGACCCACCAGCCACGGGCACGGCCCCTCCCCTGCCTGGACACAGTCTTCCACTCTGAACTACCAGCTCACAGAAGAGCTGAAATTAAATATCTGAGAGATGTTGCGTCATTAGATACAAAAACCACCCATAATGGGATTACAGCAGCAAAGGGTGATCATGGTGAGGGCCTTCCAGACACAGCAACCACAAATGAGCTTGCTCTACTACTGATGCTTATGCAATAGATGGCCCAGAACACAGAGTGGAGGGCAGAACCAATTCACACACACACACACACACACACACACACACACACATGCGCGCGCACACACACATACCCTATGAGGTACATACCCTAACATACATAACTATGTTCTGTATCTCCCAGGGCAGAGTGGGCTAGGCAAGTCCACCATGGTGAACACGCTGTTCAAGTCCAAAGTGTGGCAGTCAAGCCTGCCCAACCTGGAGCTACCCATGCCACAAACCTTGGAGCTGCACTCTGTGACCCATGGTGAGTGACCCTGCCTGCCCCATGGGCCCGGCCACGGCTATAGTCTTCCATTTCTCTCCCTCTACAGTCATCGAGGAGAAGGGATTGAAGCTGAAGCTGACAGTGACAGACACACCTGGCTTTGGAGACCAGATCAACAATGACAAGTGGTGGGTCCTGGGTATGCAGCCTCTGTCCCCACAAGGGGAAAAAGTACCCTGGAGTGACTGTGTCCCTGTCACCTGTGGTCCTTAGTTTCCTATACTCAGCTCACCTTCCCTAGCTGATGAGGGCTGAATATGCACAGGTCTCAGTTGTTGAAAAGCACCAGAGATCCATTACTTCTGTAATCCCTGCACTCTGGCAGCTGAAGCAGAAGAATCATGAGTTCAAACCCAGCTTGAGCAACATATCAAGACTCTTATCTCAAAACGGAAGGGGGAGAACAGGGCTGAGCACATACCTAGCTCACTGGTTCGGGGTTAGAATGCTCACACAGCACATGCGAGGTGCTGGGCTCAATCTCCAAGAGCAGATCAGTCAGGCACTCTGTTGGAGTGTTGTGCTGACAGGAACCCAGCATAGGAAGACCCCATCAGAGGAGTCAGACTGCACAGAGATGGTGCCTTCTGTGAAGGGCTTGCCTTGAAAGCATGGTGACCTGAGCTTATCCCCAGAACCCATGTGGGGGGGGAAAAAAAAGGCCAGAAATGACAATGCATTCCTGAGGTCCTATTGCTGGAGAGGCAGAGACGGGGCATCCTGTGAGCCCCAGGTCATTGAGGGATCTTCTATCAACATACAAGGTGAAACCGGGCGTCACCTGCCTTTTGCTTGTTGTTTTTGAGATAGGGTCTCACTGTGTGACTCTGGCTGTTCTGGAACTCACTATGCAGACCAGGCTGACCTCAAACTCACAGAGACCCACCTGCCTCTTGACACCTGACTTCAATTGTAGCACTCGATGTGGAGGCAAAGGCAGGGAGAGCTCTCTGAGCTCGAGGACAGCCTAGTCTAATAGAGCTCCAAGTCAGGGGCTGGAGAGACGGCTCAGAGGTTAAGGGAAGTTGTTCTTGCAGAGTACTGGCGTCCAGTTCCAGGGGATCCAATGATTTCTTCTGATCTCTTTTGTGCCATTGTCTTAGTTAGGGTTTCCATTGCTGTGAAGATACCATGACTGAGGCAACTCTTTTTTTTTTTTTTTCAAAACAAGTTGGGTTTTTTTGTTTTGTTTTGTTTGTTTTGTTTTGTGTTGTTTTATGGCCCTGGCTGTCCTAGGACTAGCTCTGTAGACCAGGCTGGCCTCAAACTCATAGAGATCTGCCTGCCTCTGCCTCCCAAGTGCTGGAATTAAAGGCATTCACCACCACTGCCTGGCCTACCATGACAACTCTTATAAACAAAAAACATTTAATTTGCATGGCTTACATTTTCAGAGAGAGTTAGCTCATTATCATCACGGTGCAACATGGCAACACACAGGCAGCGTGGTGCTGAAGAAGGAGTTGAGAGTCCTACATCTTGACCTGCTGGCAACAGGAAGTGGTCCGGGACACTGGGTGTGGCTTGAGCATATATGAGCCCTCAAAGTCCACCCCTGCAGTGACACACTTCTTCCAACAAGGCTATACCTACTGCAGTAAAACCACACCTCCTAATAATGTCACTCCCTACAAGCTTATGGGGACCATTACATTCAAATTACCACAGTAGGGCTGGAGAGATGGCTCAGTGGTTAAGAGCACTGACTGCTCTTCCAGAGAACCTGGGTTCAATTCCCAGCACCCACATGGCAGCTCACAACTGTCTGAAGATCTAGTTCCAGGGGATCTGACACTTTCACACCAATGAACATAAAATGAAGTTAAATAAACCATAAGAATATTTAAAAAAAAAAACCAAATTACCACAGTCATGCAGGTGAAACACACATAAAATAAGATAAATCCAAGTCAGGCATAGCTACACGGTAGAGAGCAGCTAAGGAAGACAGACGAGAGTGACCTCTGACCTCCACACAGGTACACATACGCGCACACACACACACACACACACACACACACACACACACACACTTTTGCAGCCATCAGGTGAGAACCAGTGGTGTCTTGGACCATGCTGGAGACCAAATGTCATTTAATGACCACCCTTCCCTCACCAAGGAAACTGTATATACATCTGATATGGTGATGTAGATATCAGGATAAGTAAACGTATTCGCGCTGGAGAATGAACCTAAGACGTGGGGCATGATAGCAAGCACTGAATGATACCCCCAGCTCCAGTTTTTACTTTTTGTGTTGAGACTTGGCTTCCCTAAATTACCCAGGCTGGCTTGAACTGATAATTCTCCTGCCTCTGTTTCTTTAGTAGCTGGGATGATGAGCCTGTGGCACCAGGCCCAGCCAGTAAGCGCTATTACTGTGCTTGTTTTATGAGCAGGGAAGCTTAGACCCCACGTGAAGAGAGGCAGAGGTTTCCGAGTATCTCTGAGAGTGTAGATAGAACACCCAGAGGCCGGGAGGTGGTGCTGAGGGGACATCTCTGCCCCAGCTGGGACCCTATCCTGAGCTACATCAACCAACAGTACGAGCAGTACCTACATGAAGAGCTCCTCATCACTCGCCAGCGCCACATCCCCGACACCCGCGTGCACTGCTGTGTCTACTTCGTACCACCCACTGGCCACTGGTGAGGTGACCCACTGGCTGCGGGAGGGCCACTCGATGGGAGCTTTGGGTTGACTCTCCTCCCTCCCTCATCCATCACTACCCCCTACTGTCACTGGCCTGGCCTGGCCAGCCTACGGCCCCTGGACATTGAGTTCCTGCGGCGACTGTGCCGGACTGTGAACGTGGTGCCCGTGATCGCCCGGGCTGACAGCCTGACCATTGAGGAGCGAGACGCCTTCCGGAGCAGGGTGATCTGGGTGCCCAAGCTGGAGCTGGGTCAGTGTGTAGCGAGCAGAACGCATGGTGTGCTGAGATCACTTATGCTTGGTTCCCCAGATCCAGCAAAACCTGAAAACTCACTGCATAGATGTGTACCCACAGAAATGTTTTGATGAGGATATCAACGACCGGCTCCTGAACAGTAAGATCCGGGTAAGATGCTGTAGAAGGTGCAAACGGCCGGTGACACTAAGGCCATTTGATTTCCTTCCCATCAGAAAACCGATCTCTCTGCAGTTTCAGGAAATGTGTGTAAATATTTAAAGGTTCTTCATCTGTTCACAAATTCAAAATGAGCAAGAAACAGCTCTCATCAGAGAACCCAGAGGATGGGAAGAAATGTTTGTCAGCCATGGCTTTACCTGGAGTTTACATTCTAATACAGAAAGAACTCTTGCTACTCAGTGCTAAAATATAACCAAATTTTAAAATGGATGAGGAAAACCAGACATGGTGGAAAACACCTCTCCTGTGTGCTCACGCACACAAACACAAACACAGACATGGTAGAATACAGCTCTCACGTGTGTTCATGCACACAAACACAAACGCAGACTAGAGTATAAATAAACAAATAAAAAATATAAATATAGCTGGGCAGTGGTGGCGCACACCTGTAATCCCAGCACTCAAGAGGCAGAGGCAGGCAGATCTCTGTGAGTTTGAAGCCAGCCTGGTCTACAAAGCAAGTTCCAGTGCTGTTATACAGAGAAATCCTATCTCGAAAATATTTGTGTGTGTGTGTATGTGTGTGTGTGTGATTGCAATTATTAAAATTTTAACTCTTAGTTACTGTAATCCCAGCACCTAAGAGGCTAAGGCAGGAGGATTTTGAATGCAAGGCCAGCCTGGGTTACATTAGCTTGGGCTCTATAGTGATCCCGTGTCTCAAGAAAACCAAACCAAGCCTTTAATCCCAGCACTTGGGAAGCAGAGGCAGGTGGATCTCTGTGAGTTCAAGACCAGCCTGGTCTACAAGAGCTAGTTCCAGGACAGGCTCCAAAACCACAGAGAAACCCTGTCTCGAAAAACCAAAAAAAAGAAAAAAGAAAAAAAAAAAAGAAAACCAAACCAAGAATGGGGACAGTTAGGAAGTTCGAATTTCTCCTTTCAGCTGCAAGTGAAAAAAACAAACATGGAACCTGGCAAACTCCTGTGTGTGTGGCCAGGTGGTGTGAGTCCTGTGTGTGTGGCCAGGTGTGAGTCCTGTGTGTGTGGCCAGGTGGTGTGAGTCCTGTGTGTGTGGCCAGGTGTGAATCCTGTTGGTGGCCAGATGGCAAATATTTTAGTTTCTTTGGGCCAGATAGACTCTGGTGCAACTCCTGAATGCTGCAGTTTATCCCAAGAGCAGCCCCAGAGGAGAAAAAATCAAAGGGGCTTTTGTGCCAATAAAGTTGCAGGTTCATAGGCCCTGGGCTTGGTCCCCATACCACATAAAAGAAACATCCAAGGTCCTTGGGATGTAGCTCAGAGGTACACACGAGGGGGAGGTAGCACATGAGGCCCTGTGAGTTCAAGGTCAGTCTGATCTGTACAGCAAGTTCAAGAACAACTAGAGCTACCCAGTAAGACCCTGACTCAAAAAAATAAATTTTAATTCAAATAATAAATTGAAAAACATTTTTTAGCTTTATGATGGAGCTAGTGAGATGGCTCGGTGGGTAAAGCTGTCTGCTACCAAGCTTAATAACCTGAGTTCAGACCCACATGGAAGGAGAAAACCAACCCTCCCAAACTGTCCTTTGACAATATATCATGTGTCCACACATATGCATGCATACACACGTACAAATGAAAACTAAATGTATTGACATTTTTAAGTAAACTCCTAGTTACCATGAGAATTTTGTTGTTGTTTGGTTGGTTTTTGAGCCATGGTTTACTACATAGCCCTGGCTGTCCTGGAGCTCACTGCAAACCAGGCTGGCCTCAGGATTAAAGGTGTGTGCCGCCGCCACCCATCCTTATGAGGTATCCTTAAAAGAAGGAAAACACAAGGTGGCCAGTTCAGTTTGGCCACTAGTTACCAGGGGCCAGTTCCTGTTGTATACAATTCCTATTTAGCCTGATTCTAACTTCATTACTGTCTCATTCTGAGATATTTGATATTATCAATATTCTTTCTCTGTCCGTGTGTGCATGTGTGCACATGCGCACACATCATTGCATGCATTCACACAAAACTCAGGGTTTCGTTCATACTAAACTCTGAGCCACACCCTTTCCCTCAAGACTATGTAATTAATGTAGGAGTTAATAACAACACCATTTCCTCTGGGTGGTGGTGCACATGCCTTTAATCCCAGCACTCGGGAGGCAGAGGCAGATGGATCTCTGTGAGTTTGAGGCCAGCCTGGACTACAGAGTGAGTTCCAAGATAGCCAGAACTGTTAGACAGAGAAGCCCTGTCTCAAAACAACAACAACAACAGCAACAACAAATACCACCATTTCCTTGAGTTACTTTGTTAACACTGAACTGTGCTGAGCACTTCACCATCAGCCGACAACCCTGCACCAGCATCATTTGTGCCACCATTTTATAGAGGAGGTGAGGAAAGCATGAATTCCAGTTGGTGTTTGGGGACTTCCTAGTTTTATGTGCCTGACTCCCGCCTCAGTTTCTTCTCTCCTCTCTCTTAGGAGCAGATCCCTTTTGCTGTGGTTGGGGCTGACCGAGAGCACCTAGTAAATGGGAGATGTGTCCTGGGCCGCAAGACCAAATGGGGCATCATTGAAGGTAAGTTTGGGGACATGGTAGGCATGCAGTGGGTATGGGTTGGAAACAGGGCACACCCTACACCTGCAGCATCCTTCACATCCCTTGCCTGGCAGCTGCCCAAACCCACAAGGCAACCTTGGGTTTCCTTCCATGTGCACGGAGGTGGGAGTTACTCCTGTCTCGGCTCCCTGATTTATTATTATCATTACTTTTAACAGATGGAACCGAACATGACAGCACACCCACAATTCTAGAATGAGAGGGGTGGAGGCAGGAGAAGCAGAAGTCCAAGGTCATTCTTGGCTACTTAGCAAGTTTGAGTTCAGCCTGGGCTAGCTGATACTCTGTCTCAAAAAAAAAAAAAAAAAAAAAAAAAAAAAAAAAAAAAAAAAAAAAGGAAGGAAGGAAGAAAAACAAAAACAAAAATTTTGTCTTTGGTGAGGGCTGGGCTCACTAGTTTAGCAACAATCTGTAGGAGCCAGGTCCCAGAGATACAACAATGAGTAAATGAATAGGTGAATCAATGGGGGCTGGAGAGATAGCTCAAGAGCTTAAGTGCAGTAGCTGATCTTCCAGAGGTCCTGAGTTCAATTCCCAGCAACCACATGGTGGCTTACAACCATCTATAGTGAGATCTGGTACCCTCTTCTGGCCTGCAGGCACACACACAGGCAGAACACTGTATACATAATAAATGAATAGGTGAATGAATGAAGCAGGGAGGAGGAGGTGGGCCATGGCAATGGCAGTTCTCAGACGCCACATAACATGAAGCAGCTGTCTACTCTGGACTCTCAGAGGACAGAGCTGTGCTAGGCCCCATGTCTTGCAGTGGAGAACATGGCACACTGCGAGTTTCTTCTCCTGAGAGACCTGCTCATCCGGTGAGGTGTGGGGTACCCTGTGTTCGGGTGGCTGAGAGGCGGGATCTGGGACCACTGTGACCTAGGCTGACTTGCCTCCTATCACTCAGCTCCCATCTCCAGGACCTGAAGGACATTACCCACAATGTGCACTATGAGAACTACCGGGTCCTCAGACTCAATGAGAGCCACCAGCTGCCCCGTGGGCCAGGCTGGGTGAACCTGGCCCCAGCCTCCCCAGTACAGCTGACGTCCCCTGGACCAGGGAAGGTCCGGAAGCGAGTTAACAAGGACTCCAGGGAAGATGAGTGCTGAGTGTCATAGCCCCAAGCTTGCTAGGCTTCTCCACTCCAAAGCAGCCAGCCCCCAACACACACCTATGGACTAGAGCATCTACGAGAAGCCGACGTTGCTTTGTACAAAAAGCTGTGCTTTGACAACTAAAGGGTTTGTAAATAAGTCCTCTGAGCCAGTCTGATATAAAAGGATGACTTTGGGGGCTGTGGATACGGCTCAGGTGGTAGAATGCCTGACATGTCCACAGCCCTAGGTTGAATCTCCAGCACCATTTAAAGCCAGCAGTGTGCACACCTGCAATCCTAGAAATTAGGAGGAAGAAACAGGATAAGAAATTCAAGGTTTTGTGGTTCCTTGGTCTAGGGGTATGAGTCTCCCTTAGGGTGTGAGAGGTTCCTGGTTCATATCAAGATGAGCCCAATTTTTGAGTAATATATTCTAGTTGGAAAGAAGAATCCAATCCAGGCAGTGATGGTTCATATATTTAATCCCAGCACTTACTTGGAAGGCAGAGGCAGGAGACTCTCTGAGTCCAAGACCAGCCTGGTCTACAGATCAAGTTCCAGGACAACCAAGCCATATCGTGAAAATACAAAATACAGAACACACACAGAGACAAGAAAATCAAGGTTATCCTCAACTAAATAGACAATTTGAAGTATTTTTAGGGTTCATGGAGACCTTTTAGGGGTTCTTTTTCCATCAAACTGCATTAGCCTGGAAACAAAAGCAGAACCTCTTTTCCAAAGTAACATAGTCTTAGACTCAAATTTTGAAGCCAAGATAACCTTTAAAATATATATGCTGGTTTAGCTTAGCAGCCCCCAAAATCAAATGTTTTTAAGAAGTTAACGCATTAGCAGTCAAAATATCCAAAAAACACAATAATATATATAATTCAGGCTCTCTGTATATATTCCATCTTTATGTGGCATTTTCTTACTCTATTACTTTTTAATATTTATTTTATTACCTTTACTCTTTAATCTATGACTGTCTATACTCTTTTCTCTCTCCGAAGCCAGCCCATGTACATTTATCCAACACTGTGGCCCATTCAGAGGTCTTTTTGTCTGAATCTGTCTTATTGTGTATCTGTAATAATTTTCTGACCTGGGGAAATTTTTTTAATGCTAAGCAGGCATGGCTAGGACTAACACTATGGCTTTGCCTGTTGGCTCCACTCTGTCCAACATGGTGGAGGCATGTTCACCACCTCTGCGAACCATGCTCATCTCTGCAGCTCCAGGGATGCAGCGGGTCTATGTCACCATTAAGCAACTTGTAGCACTCTGCTCATAAATCCCATTCAAGTGCTTCGTGCAGGAACTCCTGAAAGAGTCAGAGCCATTAGTGCCACCAGTACTAACCTCAGCCCGGCAGTGGTGGCACATGCCTTTAATCCCAGCACTCAGGTGTCAGAGGCAAGTGGATCTCTGTGAGTTCGAGGCCAGCCTGGTCTACAAGAGCTAGTTCCAGGACAGCCTCCAAAGCTACCAAGAAACCCTGTCTTGAAAAAGCAAAAACAAACAAACAAACAAAAAAGCTGTGCCTCTGCTTACGGCCAGCAAGCAGAGCCTAAATGAAAAACTGTGGCTACCAAGAAGCTCCAATTGATTCCTGTTTTTGTGGGTCTAGAAGCCCCTTCATAATTCTTTTTTTTTTTTTTTTGACTTTATGTGGATGTACATTGCTGAACATTGGGCGCCATTATGTAATCAGAGATTGCTTTGTAAAGGAAGACTGTACTTCATTTCCCAGCCACCACCCAGACCTGAATAATCACACAAAAACTGTATTAATTACAACACTGTTTGGTCAACAGCTTAGGCATATTCCTAGCTATCTCTTATATCTTAAGTTAACCCATTTCTATTAATCTGTATATCGCCACGAGGCTGTGACTTACTGGTAAGATTTTGGTATCCTTCTCCTTCAGCAGCCACATGGCATCTGCCTGACTCTGCCTTCTTTCCTCCTCTTTCATTGCTTGGATTTCCTGCCTTCCTATATTCTTCCCTGCCATAGGCCAAAGCATCTTCTTTATCAACCAATGGTAATAAAACACATTCATAGCGTACAGAGGGAAATCCCACATCACTGCTTTTGTTTCCCAGCTTCCCAGACCCAAGTAATCATACAGAAACGATATTAATTACAACACTGCTTGGCCAATGGCTTAGGCATATTCTTAGCTAGCTCTTACAACTTAAATTAGCCCATTTCTATTATTCTATGTATTGCCTTGAGGCTTTGGCTTACTGGTAATGTTCTGGCATCTTTCTCCTTCAGCAGCTACATGGCATCTCTCTGACTCTGACTTCTTTTTTTAGTTTTCATGCCTAGCTATATTCTGACCTGCCATAGGTGCAGCTTCTTTATTAACCAATGGTAATAAAACATATTTCTAGCATACAGAGGGGAATTGTTGTAATATGGGCGGCAGGGCTGCATCCCCAGCACCCCGGCTGCCTGCTAGCTTATGCCCCTTAATAATTACACAGAAACTGTATTCTTTTAAACACTGCTTGGCCCATTAGTTCCAGCCTCTTATTGGCTAGCTCTTACATATTAATCTAACCCATTTCTAATAATCTGTGTAGCCCACGAGGTGGCTTACCAGGGAAGATCTTAACCTGCGTCTGTCTGGAGTGAGAAAATCATGGTGACTCCCTGACTCACCTTCTTTCTCCCAGCATTCTGTTCTGTTTACTCCACCCACCTAAGGGTGGGCCTATCAAATGGGCTAAGGCAGTTTCTTTATTAATTAACCAATAAAAGCAACAGATTAGAAAAAAGTCACTCCCACATCAGGGAATCCCACATCAAGCCCTGGGATAATAGTCCTGGGTTCTATAAGAAAGCAGACTGAATCAAGCAGTGGTGGCACATGATTTTAATCCCAGAACTCAGGAGGCAGAGACAGGTAGATCTCTGTGAGTTCGAGGCCAGCCTGGTCTACAAGAGCTAGTTCCAGGACAGGCTCCAAAGCCACAGAGAAAGCCTGTCTTGAAAAACCCCCTAAAAAAAAGAAAGAAAGAAAGAAAGAAAGGAAGGAAGAAAGGAAAAGAAAAAAAGGAAAGTAGGCTGAAGAAGCCATAAGGAGCAAGCCAGTAAGCAACACTCCTCTATGACCTCTCTATCAGCTCCTGCCACCAAATTTCTGCCCTGGCTTCCCTCAATGGACTCTGTGTAGTAGGAGAAGTGGCAGGCTGTGTCCTGCCGCCCAGCTAGTTTAACCCCTGAAATAACCACACAGAAATTATATTAATTAAATTACTGCCTTGTCCATTAGCCCTAGCCTCTTATTGGCTAACTCTCGCATCTTGATTAACTCATTTTTATTAATCTGTGTTTACCACAAGGTTGTGGGTTACCGGGAAATATTTAGCGTGTCGGACCTTGTAGCTTTATGGCGGCTCTCTGTCTGTCTGTCTTCCTCCCAGCATTCAGTTCTGTCCTCCCCGCCTGCCTCAGCTCTGCCCTATCAAAAGGCCAAGGCAGTTTCTTTATTCAAACAATGAAAGCAACACAAATACAGAAGGACCTCCTACAACAACTCTGTGTCCAGATATGTAAGTGAAATAAACCCTTTCCTCCCCAAGCTGCTTTTGATCATCTCAACAATGGAAACCATAACTAGGGCATCCTCCTTAACTTTAAAGTAAAAAAAGCTGAACTGGGCATGGTGGCACACGCCTATATCCCCAGAACTCTGGAGGCAGAGGCAGGAGAATCTCTTTGAGTTTTCTGTACTGGGGATCAAACCCAGGGCTTTGTGCATGCTGGGTAATCACTCTGCCAAGAGAACTGCATTCCCAGGATTTCTGCTTACTGTCCTTGGGCCTTGTTATGCATGTTATCCATGGTTTATTATCTCATAAGTCTCCTGCACTAGGGAGCTATGTGTTTTAGTCAGGTTTTCTTTGTGAAGAGACATGATGACCTTGGCAACTCCTATGAAAGAAAACATTTCATTGAGGTGGCTTACCATTTTAGAGGTTCAGTCCATTGTCATCACGGCAGGACATGGTGGCATGCTCACAGACATGGTGCTGGAGAAGGAGTTGAAAGTTCTACATCTTGATCAGAAGGCAACAGAAAGTGAACTACGACACTGGGCATAGCTTGAGCATAGGAGACTTCAAAGCCCACCACGACAGTGACACACTTCCTCCAGCAAGCCACACCTCCTAATAGTGCCATCATTTTCTTTGAGGGCCATTTTCTTTCCAACCACCTCACTGTGTGTTATTCTTAAAAAACGATGAGAGAGCGGCTACAAACGGTCCCCGGGCGGGCTGGCGGAGCCCGCCATGGGAAAGCGGCTACAAATGATCCCCGGGCGGGCTGGCGGGGCCCGCCATGAGAAAGAGGCTACAGGAGGGCACGCTTCCTTGGCCCACGGTGGCGGCAGGTAACAGACATGTAAACACAGGTAATAGCCATAAGTATTTATTAAGGAAGAGGGAGAAAGAAAGACAGAGAAAAGAGATAAAAGGAGAGAGGAGAGGTAAGAGAAGAGAGAGACAGAGAAAATGCGTGCGCACGCCAAGGAAACAGAAAGAGAGAGAGAGGTCCCAAGATGGCAATGGGCGGGTCAGAGGTTATGGGAGTGGGCGTGGCTAGGGCAGGGACCAAAAGAATAACACTGTGAGAGGACAAAAATCCCTCTGCTTCATCCCAATGTCTATCACCGTAGCTAGCACCCAGCAGACGATGGACCCTATGCTGCTGTTTCTCTGCCTGCTTAGTGAATTCACAAACCCGCTCTCGGCTGACTCTAGGCTTAAGGAACTCCTATCCCCAGGGCTCAGTGGGCACACACCACTCGTAACCATTGTCTCAGAGTCAGCATATTGCCACACAGAGGTTGAGACATTACTCATGAAACAATAGGCTGTGAAGTTTCAGATGAGCTTCGGGCAACTTGGCAAAGCCCGTGGTATTTCAAGAACACGTGCCCTTTGGCTCAGCAGTTGCGTTTCAAGGAATGGGATTACACACAACACTGCATCAGCACTGCCCCATCAGTCTTGGCCGTAAAGGAGCTAGCCTGCATTCTTCCAGTCTTCGGCTCGATGTCAGTACTAACTTCCCTGTTGTTAACCAGGACATTGCCACACGTTCCCTAGAGGAACACAAGTGTGTAAAGAGTGTCCTCTAAGGCTATCCAGTGTGA